GTAGGTCACCTCCACCTCCTTGCCCTCCCGCACCTCCTTCTTCTTCTTCTTCGGTTGCTTATGCAGCTCGTAGTACGCGTAGAAAGTGTCCACATCCGGCTCGGCACCATAAGAAACACACGCCCAGCAAAATTTGCTGAGCGTAAGGAAGGCCGTAGGGGTCAGATGGTGAACCTGGACGTTGAACGTCTCCAACACCCGGCGGAGGAAGGGGACGTAAGGAAGGCGGAGGCCGTAGGTGAAAAAGTCCCGAAACACCACCGCATACCCCTCCTCCGGCTCCAGAACGGTCTGGCCAGGCGGAGGGATTTTTACCCCTCGAAGAAGGTAAATACGATTCCTTCAACATCTCCGCGACCGCCTCTTCAGTAATGGAGGAGGGGCCGAAATCCCATGACTTTATCGCCATGTCTCTGGAATCCGCAGTGATCAGGTCTCCGACGGACGCGGAGACACTCCCCAAATCCTCCTCCACTAGCTTTTCAAATTCCAATGCGGAGGCGGAGGCAAGCATGCACTCCTCAAAGCACGCACTCCAGCCGGTGGCCCTAATGCCGAGAAGGTGGCGATAGGGTCCGAAGAAGGTGGGCCGGCGAGTATGGGTGGAGGTGGAAAAGGAAGCCACCGCGGCGGCAGCCTAGGCGGAAGACGAAAGCGGAAAGACGGAACGCGCGAAGGCAGCTCAGGCGAAACCGAAGAGAGCAGAGAGTGATTTCTCAGAGGCAAGGAAAGCGAATGAGCAGTGCGGGGGGGGGGGGACCCCGCAACCAACCCCGCCCTTATATAGGACGCGGGCGGGCGGTTCGGCTACCGCCGTACAACAGTCATCTCCGGACAATTCGCCTGCCACCCAACGGTCATCTCCGAAGAAGTTGCAAGGTATACAACGGAAAGCAATACGGCGTAAACGGCCACAGCGTAGGACAACGGCTAGTTTTGCAGCCTAACGGCTACTATGACAAGACCAACGGCCATGCCAGAGCGGGCCAGGGGGGAACCTACGGGGATCGGTCGGAGACGTGACTATGCGCAGTCTCCGCCCCCGCGGACGTCCTTGCTTAGGGCATTTTGAGTTCACGACACGCTCGGGCGGACCGTGGTCTCAAAAGGGGGGAACTGTTGTAACACGGCCTCCGAGAGTGGCGGAGACCAACGCGGCCAGCAGTTCGCAGAGACATCTTCGACCGACTACCTAAGCAAAGGCCCGGCTACCACGCCCGGTTAGATCGTAGGCGTCTCCGACCGGAGGGGGCAGAGGCCGCCCCGCTGCAAGGCTAATCAAGTGCCAACGTTATCTATGTGTGTGTGCAGGTAAACAGAGGAAGACGCTCGTGGACGGCGGGGGCACGCCGGTTCGGCCTCCGCTCGTAGGAGCAGAGACCCAAGCAGGAGGACGACAATACTGGGCGTCGGGTGTGAAAGTGCATCTAGCCCTTCAGTGGGTTTTGGATGATTGAATGACAATGTGATTAAAGGTCTAACCCGTTTACTAAGTATGGATAGGTAATAGGTTATCTCACAGGTACTTAATGAAAGCCAAAATGATGTGTTGTTGTATAAACAATCTAGTTCAAGCACGAGACAACAATGCAAATAGAATTCATACAAAGGCTTATTTGTTGTGGTATTTCTATGTGCTATGTGAAAGCAAGCTCTTAAGTATTAATTAATGAGACATGAGGGATTGCATATGGAATGGTCTCATATTTGAAGCTTGCTAAAATGAAATGAAAAAGACAACAATACAAATGAATGGATGATTCAACACAAGATGTGACTTGATGGCTTGAGATGGTGAAGATAGCAAGGAAAGGCTTTGAGGTACTAAGCAAGGGTGAAGGGCAAGCGATGGCTTGGCGACTGAAGAACCTAGCTAGGGTGAAGAAGAAAGTACTTGCATTTAGTTGAGGTACTAATCAAGCTACGATGGTCATATTGATGTGAATGATCAAATCACTATTGGAGTGTTTGATAGAAGTGACTTGATACATTTGGGATTATTCAAATTTAATGAATGGAATCAAGTCACATGCTCAAGATGGCTATGCTCAAGTGAAAAAGATCAATATCAACATGTTAGCACCCTCACTTGATAAAGATTGGAATACACGGCTTCGGTTCAAAAACAAGAGCAACTCAAAAGGTTTAAATCCGTTATACTTTTTAAATTTGAGTAAATAGGAATGCCGTACTATTAAGAGGGATGCATCATGTTGATAGATAATGTTTCATAAGTGCTCAAGCCAACCCAAGTGAGTTTTGAGTATTTGAGCGACAAAAGAGCTAACTTTATTTTTGTTGGTCTGGAAATACCGGACGTGTCCGGTATTTACCCAGCAGTTGTAAAATTGTTGTTCTCGGGTTGGTTCGTCGGGAGTTCCGACGTAGGTCGGGAGTTCCGGCAAGGGTCGGGAGTTCCGATGTCTCGCACATTAACTAACTTAGAGGGTTCACTGTCCTGGTCATACCGGATGTGTCCGGTATTCAGAGGCCAACGGCTAGTTTTCCAAAGCCTTGAGGGTCGGGAGTTCTGACGGTTGGAAGTTCTGGCATGTGTCGGGAGTTCCGACACCTCATATTCTTTAACTCAGTTACATGGTTTTCAAATTTGCTGAGGGTCGGGAGTTCCGACGTGAGTCGGGAGTTCCGGCGGTCGGGAGTTCCAGCATTCATCGGGAGTTCCGACGTCTCACAACTTCACTGTAACTTAGTTACCGTTGGGACAGTGTAAGTCATACCGGACGTGTCCGGTATTGCAACGGCTATAAAACGACTAGTTTTTTAAGGGGGCTATAAATACCCCCAAGCCTCCACCTTTGGAGGCTGCTGATTCTGCTGAGATAGACACATGTTTTTGAGCCTTGCCAACTCTCCTAAACCCTCTCTTAGTGAGTGTGTGATCCAAATTGCAAAATCAATTTGTGGGTTAAGAGAGAATTTGAAAAAGAGAGCAAGCCACCACTTGAGCACTTATGCATATTGTCAATCTTGTGATTCGCATTTGTTACTCTTGGACTCTTCGGTCCTAGACGGTTAGGCGTCGTCGGAGAGCACCCGAGAGATTGTGGTGTGCCTCAGAAAGTTTGTAACGGTCGATTCCGCCGCCTCGAAATCAAATTAGTGGAAGGAGGAAAAGGAGTTGGAAAAGACTCCGGCTAGAGTGACCTTCGTGGTACCCTCTAGGGCTGACCTTCGCTGGGTCGCCCGCAGCCCTCTCAACGGAGAGTAGGACTCAAACGAGTCCGAACTTCGGTAAAACAAATATCGTGTCTCAATTCGCATTTCATTTGATATTTGTGTTGCTCTAGCTATTCTGCAGGTTCTCTGTGCATATTGTCATCTCTAGAAGTGCCTGCAGTTTGGTTCGAAGATAGAAATCGAAAGGAGTAAGTTCAAGGCTGATCTGCAGAAACCGTGTATACCGGACACGTCCGGTATTCATACCGGACATGTCCGGTATTTACTGTCTGTGCAGAAAATGTTAATTCTCAGTTCTAACTTTGTTTTGCAGGGTTGTAGCTTGTAGATATATTCTTTATACCTTGTTTACTCTGTTGCTAACTTGTGAGGGGTGGTACTACTCTTAATTTGGAGTTTCCATTTTGGAAACTCCCTTTTCTAATCGTTTCCGCATTTAAAAGGTGTTAATTTTCAGAAACGCCTATTCACCCCCCCTCTAGGCGGCATCCTAGGTCCTTTCAGGGGGTCTGCGGCCTCGGCGTCCCAGGGGCGGAGACCAATGGCGGAGGCCTAAAGGCCCATCGCCGAATCCTGAGGCCTGATGGGCCGGCTGATCGCGAGAGCCAATACCTGAGGGCGGCAAGACAAGATTACCCCCGAGAAAAAGGCAAGTAATGGGATATTCCGAGAATGTACTGTAGCAGTTGAAGGGTGCTATTGTAAACTCTGTAAAAGTGGTAGTTGAGCCCTATAAATAGGGAACACTTGTAACAGTACGGGTGGTGGATGAATGAATTAAATGAAACTCTAGTTTTACGTGCCATTTTCCTACACGCCCGCTTGTCGTGTCTGTTTCCCGAGCCTCAGTCTGAGGGCAGCGCTTGAAGAGCGGAGGCCTCCACCTCCTCCACATTGTCTGAGACCGCAAGTCTCAACACTTTGAACAAATGAGAAGTCTAAATTTTGAATTGGTAAATTCCTTTGAACTAGCTACACTATGTTATTCTTCCTGAATTTGTTGCTGGATCCTAGTTCAGTTGTGTCATGCATCTAGCATGCAGCAAGCTGGCGTTAATTAGATGACGGATGTAAAAAAGATATGACCACGATGATGAACAAACTAGATAGGCGAGCGCGCATGCAGTGAGCTGTAATTAATTAGCGGACTTAATCCTCAATCCTCACTTAGATATGTAATACATATAGATACATAGAAAAACAATATATCTAAAAAAAAAATCAAAACGTCTTACAATTTGAAATACAAAGAGTAACAATTAATTAACTCTTGTATCCAAACTAGGGCCCTAGTTCCTTTTCTCTATGGGACGCTTAACGTGGATTAAATTTTAGTCCTGGCCGGAGAGAGCGAACATGGGACTTTTTTTGGACGGGTTAGTATGCATGGCAGCTTGGTTTGATGGGTGGATTTTCAACCTTGTGAATTGAAATTGAAATTCAACTTGACCGAGCGCTGAAAATAGCGTAGCCAAGGCGCCCCCCTGCGCGTACGTTGGCGCGCGCATGCAGCAGCATCCTCGACCGGGAAATCAAAAGTATAAGGCGAAGAATAAATAGACCCGGTCGGCGTGCGTTTAAACATTTGCGTAACGAAGCTATAAAAGGAACTCATGCATCTTTTCTCCCAACAAACCATTCAAGATTACGTAAAACCAGCACCATCGTCGTCTGCAATCACAGTTGTTCTCTCTGCTAGCTAGCCTGCCTGTACGTAGCTCCATCTCGCGTCCTAGCTACCAAATAAGGCTACACGACGTACGCCGCGCCGGCCGCGCGCAGAACTTGATTGGATAAGCAATATGGCAGCAGCGACGATGGCGATGGCGAGGGCGGTGCTGGTGGCCGTCGTGCTGATGCAGTGCTGCAACGTGATGGTCGCGGCGAGGCCGTTGCTGATGGAGGCGCCGGCGGTAGCGACATCAGACGGCGGCGGCTGGCTGGGGATGATCATGCAGGTGCTACAGGGCGGCAACAACAGCGGCTGCCGAGCTCCCAACGGATCCTGCCCCTGATCAGTCGATCATCTCAACTGCATGCGTGCATGCTCCGATGGATCGATTCTTTTTTATGTATATATATAGGCGCCAATTAACCTGTGCATACAGTATCTCTTAGGTTTGTAGTAGCAAAGCAAGGAAGCTAGTTGTTCGGGATTATTTGTAATAATAAGGGGTTAATTAACTCCGTGCAAAATCGCACATTATATATATATATATATAGTTTTGGGTGTTCCAGAGCTAATAAGGGTGAGATTCGCAATTGAAGGTCCATCTGTTCCGTTCGCTATTTAAATTCACAGTACTTTTCAGGAAATAAACAATGTTTTCTCTCACAATAAATCACATAAGTATCAACATAAGCCAAACTTCAGCTAAACGAACAGGGATACACACTTCTCAACTGGCTCACGCTGTCACGCCTGACGCTTTGACCATTACAAGTACAGGCTTGATCTCTCGAGGAAATACAATTAATTAAACGAAGTCTATGTGCGAACGAGCTACTAATTAACCAGGTTCAGCCTCACAACATTAGGGCACTCACAGTATAGAAACTACGGTAGTTTCTATAGATATTAATTGTACTGCCACGTAGGCAATTTGCTGATGTGGCAAGTGATTTAACGAGGAGAGAGAAAAAATCCAAGAAACCAAGTCTAACTAAGAAACTGGGTCTTCACGGTTATCGATGGACAAAAAACTACTCGTAGCCTATTGGGAGAGCAAACATGATTTCTCTCATGACTTAGGGCCTGTTCGCTTGTCTGAATTTTGGAGAAATCTGGATGGTTTGGAGAAATGCTGGAGAAATTTGTGAGAGAAAAGCACTGTTCCGGATGAAAAAATAAGCGGATCAAGACGGGTTTAAGGGCACGCGAACGGGGCCTTATACTATAGAAAATCTTGCACTGGATATGATAGCTTCTTGGTACGTTGTCCTATGCTATAGAAACTGCTAATAATTTCTTGCATTGGGAGTGCCCTTAGATAGCTAGGATGCTCGTCACCGCTCTGTTAAGGCATCAATTAAACCGTACTCCTCTCATTCCAAATTAATTGTACTTCACTCGAAATTTGTCTAAGATAAATTTCTGTCTTTGACTAGTTTTGGATTGAGACACATACATCAGCGTGCATCGACAATATATCAAGTTAGTTTGTTAATCTCTTAAAGAAATATGTCTTGATAATTCGCAAAAGAAATGAAATATGTCTTAACGGTGCATTCATCTGAACTTATAGATGTTAACTTTTTTCTAAAAATTTAACTTGGAACAAAACTTTAAGTGAACTATAATTTAAAACAGAGAATATTAATTATATCTTGAAATAAAATAAGACCTGGTGTCTATTGTGTGTGAGACAAGAGATGAATCTGAAGGCTAAGGACACATTAGAGCGAATGAAGACTGCGGTCATGGGATATTTGGTGTTGTGCATTAGGTCTTTGTTTTTTCTTTGGCTGTACTGTTAAGAAGATCCAAGGCATTCAACTTGAGAGAGTCAAAGTGAGAGAAAAAAAATGCATGAAGTGGCTTACTCTCAGCCGAGCTGATGGTGACAAGTGGCATTCCTTTGAATTGGTAAAAAGTCTAATTGTGAATTGGTAAATTCATGGCATTCCTTTGAAGTAGCTATACTATATATCGGCCCGTTTGATATAAGGGACAATTGTTTGCTAGCTAAAATTAGCTCCAACGTATCAAACAGGAGGGCTAATATAGGTGGGATAACTTTTTAGCAGGCCTTCAACTAGTTGGTATTCAACTGCCTAGCCAACTCTAGCTAATTTAGGCTAATTTCTGCCTGAACTAGTAACTAGCACTAGTGATCCAAACAGGCCCTAAGGACTCTTCCTTAACTTGTTGGATCCTAGTTCAGTTGTTATGCTTATGCAGCACATGGTGTCAAAGATATGACCATGACGAACAACACGCTTGGTAGGCGCGCGCGCAGGGAGGTGTAAAAAATATAAATAGCGGACTTAATCATAGTCATGTTAAGTAAACAGTATACACTAGTGTCCTTCATACGTACGCTTGTTGCTTGTTGCAAAAACATAAAACAGTGGATCCTTGATGCTCCATTTGGGCAGAGCAAAGCAACAAGGAGTAGGACCGCTCTAGCAATTTTTGTGTTAATTGTTTTAATTTCTCCATCATAGTTGGTGGCTAATTTGTAAATAGGTATAGTTATACTTCAGTTCCTTTTTCTCTATTTGTTATGGATATGACATCCTTAAAGTGGAGTAATATAATTTTTAGTCCTGGCCGGAGAGAGGGAACATGGGACTTCCTTTTTGGGCGGGTTAGTACGCATGGCAGCTTGGTTTGATCGACGGACGGGTTTTCAACCTTGTGAATTGAAATTCAACTTGACCGAGAGCTGAAAGAAAACCGCGTAGCGATGGCGCCCCCGCCCCGGCCGCGCGTACGTTGTTGGCGCCGTTAGTAGATGACGCATGCAGCAGCATCCTGGACCGGTAAATCAAATTCAAATTCAAATGTTTATAAAAGTACAAGGCGAAGAATAGACCCGGTCGGCGCGCGCTTAAACCTGCGTAACGAAGCTATAAAAGGAACTCATGCACGCATCTTGTCTCCCAACAAACCATTCGAGAGACAAGTTCTGAAGCAAACTCCAGAGTACGTCATAACCAGCTCTGTTAAGGCATCAATTATACCGTACTCCTTTCATTCCAAATTAATTGTACTTCACTCGAAATTTGTCCTAAGATAAATTTCTCTGTCTTTGACTAGTTTTGGATTGAGAAACATACATCAACGTACATCGACAATATATCAAGTTAGTTTGTTAATCTCTTAAAGAAATATGTCTTGATAATTCGCAAAAGAAATGAAATATGTCTTAACAGTGCATTCATCTGAACTTATAGATGTTAACTTTTTTCTAAAAAATTAACTTGGAACAAAACTTTAAGTGAACTATAATTTAAAACAGAGAATATTAATTATATCTTGAAATAAAATAAGACCTGGTGTCTATTGTGTGTGACAGTGTGAGACAAGAGATGAATCTGAAGGCTAAGGACACGTATATTAGAGCGAATGAAGACTGCGGTCATGGGACATTTGGTGTTGTGCATTAGGTCTTTGTTTTTTTCTTTGGCTGTACTATTAAGAAGATCCAAGGCATTCAACTTGAGAGAGTCAAAGCGAGAGAAAAAAATGCATGAAGTGGCTTACTCTCAGCCGAGCTGATGGTGACAAGTGGCATTCCTTTGAATTGGTAAAAAGTCTAATTGTGAATTGGTAAATTCATGGCATTCCTTTGAAGTAGCTATACTATATATCGGCCCGTTTGATATAAGGCACAATTGTTTGCTAGCTAAAATTAGCTCCAACGTATCAAACAGGAGAGCTAATATAGGTGGGATAACTTTTTAGCGGGCCTTCAACTAGTTGGTATTCAACTACCTAGCCAACTCTAGCTAATTTAGGCTAATTTCTGCCTGAACTAGTAACTAGCACTAGTGATCCAAACAGGCCCTAAGGACTCTTCCTTAACTTGTTGGATCCTAGTTCAGTTGTTATGCTTATGCAGCACATGGTGTCAAAGATATGACCATGACGAACAACACGCTTGGTAGGCGCGCGCGCAGGGAGGTGTAAAAATATAAATAGCGGACTTAATCATAGTCATGTTAAGTAAACAGTATACACTAGTGTCCTTCATACGTACGCTTGTTGCTTGTTGCAAAAACATAAAAAAGTGGATCCTTGATGCTCCATTTGGGCAGAGCAAAGCAACAAGGAGTAGGACCGCTCTAGCAATTTTTGTGTTAATTGTTTTAATTTCTCCATCATAGTTGGTGGCTAATTTGTAAATAGGTATAGTTATACTTCAGTTCCTTTTTCTCTATTTGTTATGGATATGACATCCTTAAAGTGGAGTAATATAATTTTTAGTCCTGGCCGGAGAGAGGGAACATGGGACTTCCTTTTTGGGCGGGTTAGTACGCATGGCAGCTTGGTTTGATCGACGGACGGGTTTTCAACCTTGTGAATTGAAATTCAACTTGACCGAGAGCTGAAAGAAAACCGCGTAGCGATGGCGCCCCCGCCCCGGCCGCGCGTACGTTGTTGGCGCCGTTAGTAGATGACGCATGCAGCAGCATCCTGGACCGGTAAATCAAATTCAAATTCAAATGTTTATAAAAGTACAAGGCGAAGAATAGACCCGGTCGGCGCGCGCTTAAACCTGCGTAACGAAGCTATAAAAGGAACTCATGCACGCATCTTGTCTCCCAACAAACCATTCGAGAGACAAGTTCTGAAGCAAACTCCAGAGTACGTCATAACCAGCTCTGTTAAGGCATCAATTATACCGTACTCCTTTCATTCCAAATTAATTGTACTTCACTCGAAATTTGTCCTAAGATAAATTTCTCTGTCTTTGACTAGTTTTGGATTGAGAAACATACATCAGCGTGCATCGACAATATATCAAGTTAGTTTGTTAATCTCTTAAAGAAATATGTCTTGATAATTCGCAAAAGAAATGAAATATGTCTTAACGGTGCATTCATCTGAACTTATAGATGTTAACTTTTTTCTAAAAATTTAACTTGGAACAAAACTTTAAGTGAACTATAATTTAAAACAGAGAATATTAATTATATCTTGAAATAAAATAAGACCTGGTGTCTATTGTGTGTGAGACAAGAGATGAATCTGAAGGCTAAGGACACATTAGAGCGAATGAAGACTGCGGTCATGGGATATTTGGTGTTGTGCATTAGGTCTTTGTTTTTTCTTTGGCTGTACTATTAAGAAGATCCAAGGCATTCAACTTGAGAGAGTCAAAGCGAGAGAAAAAAATGCATGAAGTGGCTTACTCTCAGCCGAGCTGATGGTGACAAGTGGCATTCCTTTGAATTGGTAAAAAGTCTAATTGTGAATTGGTAAATTCATGGCATTCCTTTGAAGTAGCTATACTATATATCGGCCCGTTTGATATAAGGGACAATTGTTTGCTAGCTAAAATTAGCTCCAACGTATCAAACAGGAGGGCTAATATAGGTGGGATAACTTTTTAGCGGGCCTTCAACTAGTTGGTATTCAACTACCTAGCCAACTCTAGCTAATTTAGGCTAATTTCTGCCTCAACTAGTAACTAGCACTAGTGATCCAAACAGGCCCTAAGGACTCTTCCTTAACTTGTTGGATCCTAGTTTAGTTGTTATGCTTATGCAGCACATGGTGTCAAAGATATGACCATGACGAACAACACGCTTGGTAGGCGCGCGCGCAGGGAGGTGTAAAAAATATAAATAACGGACTTAATCATAGTCATGTTAAGTAAACAGTATACACTAGTGTCCTTCATACGTACGCTTGTTGCTTGTTGCAAAAACATAAAAAAGTGGATCCTTGATGCTCCATTTGGGCAGAGCAAAGCAACAAGGAGTAGGACCGCTCTAGCAATTTTTGTGTTAATTGTTTTAATTTCTCCATCATAGTTGGTGGCTAATTTGTAAATAGGTATAGTTATACTTCAGTTCCTTTTTCTCTATTTGTTATGGATATGACATCCTTAAAGTGGAGTAATATAATTTTTAGTCCTGGCCGGAGAGAGGGAACATGGGACTTCCTTTTTGGGCGGGTTAGTACGCATGGCAGCTTGGTTTGATCGACGGACGGGTTTTCAACCTTGTGAATTGAAATTCAACTTGACCGAGCGCTGAAAGAAAACCGCGTAGCGATGGCGCCCCCGCCCCGGCCGCGTACGTTGTTGGCGCCGTTAGTAGATGACGCATGCAGCAGCATCCTCGACCGGTAAATCAAATTCAAATTCAAATGTTTATAAAAGTACAAGGCGAAGAATAGACCCGGTCGGCGCGCGCTTAAACCGGCGTAACGAAGCTATAAAAGGAACTCATGCACGCATCTTGTCTCCCAACAAACCATTCGAGAGACAAGTTCTGAAGCAAACTCCAGAGTACGTCATAACCAGCTCGATCGATCGTCGATCGTCGATTGTCTGCAATCACAGTTCTCTAGCCTGCCATATATATCGTCGTCTGAACTCGCAGAACTTTGATCGGACGACGTACTGCAAGTATATATGGCAGCTGCAGCGGCGACAATGGCCATGAGGGCGGTGCTGGTGGCCGTCGTGCTGATGCAGTGCTGCAACATGATCGTCACGGCAAGACCGTTGCTGGAAACGCCGGCGGTAGCGGGAGGGGCCGCCGGCGCCGGTACCAGCTGGCTGGGGCTCATCATGCAGGTGCTACAGGGCGGCAACAACCACAAGTGCACGGCTCCCAACGGATCGTGCCCCTGATAAGCTAGCTAGCCGGCCGGCCGGGGCCCGGGGCGGCAAGCAAGCTCCCGACTCCATCAGTCGATCATCAACTCCATGCATGCTCCATCGATTTTTTATGTATATATATACTAGGCGTGAATTAACCTGATGTGCATATATAGTATATGGGTCCTTGTTGTAGTTTTTGCAGTTAAGAGGTTAATTAACTCCGTGCAAAAACGCACAGAGCGGTCTCTGCCTCTCTCTCACACAGTTTTGTTCTTTTATATGTGGTTCTGGGTTCCAGATCGAGCTAATAAAGAGTGAGATTCGCAAACTGAAGGTCGATCGATCTGTTCCATTCGCTATTTAAATTCACAGTACTGTATATAAGTATATTACTAGTGTTACAGGTCGACAGGAAATGTGATTTTAAATATATATTTTTACGAAGGTAAACCTAGCTTACTTTTATAAAGCAACACTACTAATATATACACTTTTCAACAACTGACTAACGCTTTGACCATTACACGTACGCTTGGTCTCTCGAGGAAATAATAAAACCAAGTCTACGTGCGAGCACAGCAGTAGACTACTCTAAAACCTTTCTTGCATATATGTTAATTTGTTTACCCACGTTTGATTTGACTTTGACTGCATTGCGACAGGTTGACACTTGACACTCATGCCGCGTAAAATTGTTCAGACTCGATTGAGCTACCCTAGTGAGTCATGAGTCATGACCAGCAACAACATATTTTGCCGCACAATCAACTTTACTAAAATTAGTTAAAAAAAACTTTACTAAAATTGCTCAAATTCTTCAAATTTTACATTCCTTGCTTTCCACTTCCACCTTTGCCCCATAACCAGCTTTACTAATTTAAACACCACAATTAAAATTCAGATTTAAACATTCGGTTTATAAACAAATGATAGTTAAACATTCGGTCAAACTTGAGAATGTTTGACTCATCGAAATACGAGTTGTGCACTTATTTTAGGATGGAGGGTGTATGACCCTTTTCTTTGTCTTTTTTAGGATATATTTTCTGCATAGTTATTAGTTCAGCTAGTTCTTTCTTCGAATGAATCTGGCTTTGTTTAAAAAAAAAGAAAGAATAAGCATGGCATAAGTTTATTCTATCTGGAGCAGTTGGTCGCATTTATCTATGCTACCTGCCTGACTACATGCCTTGAAAAGAAAAGGTCAACATTTTAAATGGATAATAACTTCATGGCATTCTCCTTTTAATTCAGAAATGAAGATTATTTAGTTGTCCTCGTCGAGCAAGCTTGCAACTAATAACCACTAAGATGTCAAAGTCAAAGGCACGTGACGTGACCCTGATCATGGGACGCGCGTGCAGTAAGCCAGTAAGGTGTAAGTACGTAATTTGTAAGTAATTAACAATGGGCCTAATCTTTGTCATACGAAAAGAGTTCACACAAATAATAACCTCATGGTATACATACCTGACTTTGATGGATGGATTATTTCAACTTTGTGAAATGGAAATTGAACGAGCGCTGAAAAAAAAAAACATCTCGCAAATAAGGCGCGCCGTGCGTACGTAGGTCCTTGCGCTTGATTAGCCAGGAATCAAGATGTAATCAAATGCGTAAGTAAAAGTACAAACTGAAGAATGGACCTGGTCCGCCGCCATACTTTGTGTCGGTTAATGAACTAGTTAGCAGCCTAAAAACCTATAAAAGGACACCACGTTGACTCTAGCTCTTCCGACAACCATTCGAGAGGCATCATAATTAATTAAGGGACTGATATTGATATGGCATCCGCGGCGATGAGGGCGGTGGTGCTGGTGGCCGTCGTGCTGATGCAGTGCTGCAAAGTGATCGTCGCGGCAAGGCCGTTGCTGGAGGCGCCGGCGGTGGCGGGAGGTGACGGTACTAGCTGGCAGGAGATGATCATGCAGGTGCTACAAGGCGGGCCGGGCGGCAACAACCACAACAGCCAAGCTCCCAACGGATCGTGCCCCCTGATAAATTAAACTAGCTAGCCGGGGCGGCGCCTCCACCGACGATAAAATAGTTGGATTAGCCATGCTGATCGATCAAGTTAGGCTCTAGCTGGTTGTGATTTTGTTGATTCAATCGTAGGCGTGTCAATAATTAATTAACACATGTACGTAGGTACGTACATACATGCATGCTTACGTAGCTAGCTAGCTAGAGAGAACATTGTTCATATCCCCATTGTAGTCCTTTCTAGCTACTACTCCTAGCTTAGCTAGTTGTTCAAAATCTGTAATTAGAGATAAATTCATCTGTGCAAAAATGCGTGGAGTCTTTGCTTAACATCCAATATAGTTCTTTCGTGTAATTTTGGGTTCAGAACATCTTATAAAGCATGATGATGCATGAGATTATACAATGAAGGTATTATATTCACTCTTTATATTCAAATAAAACTTATTTCGGTCGGACTGCTGCTTTATTTCTCTTCTCACCAACAGAGAAATTAAACCACTTTGTGTATATATATGTATGTACACGTTCGAGAATTTTGCCTCCAACCAAATGAATCGCTGGAGATTGGAGAATGACTAGGCTAGCATGCATGTAGCCACACGTAGAGTAACGACACTATTCCTCTCGCAAAACAGACGAGATACATAGAGAGAGTTAACAATAGCGTCGTTATCATATAAAAGAACAATCTTTAATTTTGTATGGATTGCGACCAAAATTCAACTGCTTTTTTTTTATTTGAACACAACAGCATGTTGGTCTGATACGTATAGTGCAGTACGGACGTAACTGCTTGACACTTTGACCTTTGCATAGGCATGGACGAGATCAAACAACAGAAACGTCAACGTGTGCGAGCGACCTACACGTACATGCGGCCACTGGCCGCACAGCATTAGACGAAGTGACGAACAGCAACAGCTGCCTTGTTGCCATCACTTTATTAATTGCCCAGTTCACTTGGCTTATAAACCGTACTTTTTCAGTCAATAAATAGTATTTTTCTCTCATAACAAATCAGGCAACAGTACTTTCAACCATGATTTATCAGTCAAGCGAATAGGGGCATATATTTGGAGCCCCTCTTGGAGTCATGCACGGTACTAATTTGCTTTGGTCATTACGCTGGTAGCACGGTCCGTAGAATAGTCTATAATATGGCTTCCTGGTAATAACAAGAATACTGATAGTAGGATTCCAGGTCTCCATAATGACTAGACTAACTAGCATGCATGTATGCGTTGTTTACTAGTATTTGAAACCAGGTGCCAGGTGGCCAGAAGCCCAGAAGTCGTGCCTGGTGAATGGTGATGCCTGATCAGACTAAGGACTTTCAACAAAAGAAGTCTTAGTTTTCAACCGGTGAATTCATAGCATTTCTTTGGAAGTAGCTAGACTGCTATGACATCCCTTTGTGGGAATAATAATCTAATTCAGAAATGAAGAGTGAGTATTTATATTGAAGGAGAATGGAATTGGTGCATAATTGGATGGATGTATTGCATTAAGCCCTTGGGCATTTATATAGAATATACAAGACTTTGGGAGGCAAAGCAAGCCAGATACACATGGCAGTCTACAATACGCAATATCCAAACTACCGTATATACTCTAACATTATTTATATTGAGCATGTTCTCATTACTACCTCCGTTCTGAAATGAATGCAATTCTATCGTAGCACCAAATCAAACTATTTTGGGTTTTATTAAATTATATAAAAATGATGATATTGTCATGCCAAATAAGTGTCATTATTAGATTCTTCATGAAATCATTTGACTAAAGACGGAACTACAATTTTATTTTGTAAGACGGAGGGTAGCATGCTAGCACTTTGGTGTCATAACTCATAACCGTGATTATCAAAGGGACGTGTACAGTGAGTTGTAAAACAATCATCAATGTACCTAATCCTAGTCATGAGAAACAATAGATGGAAAAGCAATAACCTCTCTCTGCTTGGAATATATTACAAGGAGTGGAGCAAATTCCTGCACATTCTGTGGACTTATATATCTTACAACAATTTGACATTTAGATATATAATTGTCTTGAAATAGACAGCGGAACATCTTCTTTAATAAAAAAAAAGAGAAGTGCAGATCTCCTGTCATTTCAAGACAACAATTAATATGTACCTAGAACCAAATGACTGTCTTGGTATTATCCTTACGTGAGAGCACAATAATATTGGTTAATTTTTATAAAGAATATTTTTTTATGAGAAATCAGTATCATGTTCATATTATCCTGTGGTTGGATCGAACTTGTTGTGCATTACATATACACGCATAATAAGAATACAAAAGCAGACCGACCCGAACTCCAAGTCAAACGTACGGCGTGTGGCGTGTGTCCATCAGTCCTCAGATCAGGCAAGTCCATTGTGTTTGTGTATGCGATGACCATACTGATTTCTTATTCCTGTCCCAACGAAAACAGATTAGAGGCGACTGATTATTAGAGGCGACTGATTCTAAATTGACATGCACACTTGCACAGGTAGTGCACTACTGGAGACGGCCTCTTTGCCCTCGACAAAGACTTTGCCGAGGGCGGCCCTCGGCAAAGAGCTCTGGGGAATTTTGAGTCGGCGAAGAGGGTCTTTGCCGAGGGCTCTTTATCGGGCACTCGGCAAAGCCTTTGTCGAGGGCTGGAGCGGCACTCGGCAAAGAAAAGCAGCCGTCACGGCGCCGGCGCTGGGACGGAGTCTTTGTCGAGGGCCATCTCCGGGGGCCCTCGGCAAAGAATTTTTTTTTGAAAAATCTTTGCCGAGGGCCTCTAAGCATGGCCCTCGGCAAAGAAATGTGCAGATTTTTTTCAAAAAATCTTTGCTGAGGGCAATCGGACGGCCCTCGGCAAAGAATTATTCTTTTTTTTTGAAAAAACTTTGCCGAGGGCTTCCCCGAAGGCCCTTCGCAAAGAATTTTATTTTTTTTTTAAAAAAAGTCTTTGCTGAGGGCCCCCAACCATGGCCCTCGGCAAAAAAATGTTGCAGAATTTTTTTTAAAAAAAATCTTTGCCGAGGGCAATGGGAGAGCCCTCGACAAAGGACCCTTCTTTGCCGAGGGCCTTGGTCATTGCCCTCGGCAAAGAGGCAGAAATTTAATTTTTTTTGTTTTTTGCATTCCATCAACACAAGCATTTCATATATATATATCACACAGAACCTATTTTCTCACAATATATCACAACCATAATTGTGAACCACAAATCACAATATATTACAACGATAAGTCACATGTTCATCATCATTCACATGTTTATTACGACAAGTTCATGAAATCCAAGCATAAGTCAGAACCATAAACCACAAATATTACAATAAAGTCCAACCACATCACTTAGCACTAGTCCTCGTCAAGGTAGCCTATGAGACGGTGGTGAAGGAAAGACGGGATCAGTCGGTGACGCACTACCGGGATGATTGGAACCCGCGGACGGAGGCTGCACAAAGGAGCAGAGATTTCATGTGTGAGTAATCTGGGAAAACAGTATTGGAACTTAGAGATTGCATCCAGTAATCTAGGAATACAAAAAGATTAGACTCAATTGAAAATTTCGGCAGCACCTCCCCTGCACGAGGAGGTTTCCAAAACCTGCAAGAAACAACGGCACGAACGCCGACATCCACAACGACACGAACGCCGACATCCACAACGGCACAAACGCCGACATACATGCAAAGCACAAGCGAAAAGTGAACTTTCATACTTACAGGAGTAGCTGCAGGAGTAGCTGCAGGAGTTGGAGGTGGAGGAGCTAAAAACTACACAGGTACACCCGATGCTTGCCCAAGACTTTGCATGATCACCATCATCTCTGCCATCTGCTTCTGCGCGGCCTCGAACGCGACCTGCTGGGCCTGCAGCTGTGCGGTCAGTTCCGCGTTCTGCTCTTGACTTTGCCTTTTTGTTTCTTCCAGCTCGACCTGCAATATTTCACTCCAATGTATCAGTAATACAAATCTAATTTAGATGTATAAATATCAACGTACGACGAGTAGAACAGGAATTACCTAGAGTGCCTGGACCTGCTGCAGTGCTGGAGAAGGCCGTGAGCGTATGGCCTGGCTGGAGCTCGTGCTCCGTGCTCGGATAGCGTCGAGGGAGGGAACAGTGGTGGAGTCGATGGCGCCGTCTGCAATCCACAGCCGCCCGTGCTTCTTGCCTCCTCCGAGCCTCATGATCATCTCTGCATCAATGGACTCAGTGCGCACATTGTAATCTTCCCCATAGATCTCCCTTACCGAGGACATGTACTCTTGGACTTTAGTGTACACGTTCAGGTCGGAGTACACCTAGGGCGGGGCAGCCGGGTCGAAGGAGATAGAGGACGACGCCCTGCCCATGTGGGACATAGCCCACGTAGAGAACTCCGAGACCTCCTCGCCCGGGTGCGTAGCCTCCTACGAGAAAGATGGGAAGATGGTGAAAAATTAAGCAGAATTGAGCATCAAAATAAATGAAAGAAATCACTTACATATGTTTGTTTGTATCCGGGGAGGCTGCGGCTGCCTTGATGGTGAGTTGGACCTTGCCTCATCAGACGCTGTTCCCGCTGCCTCTCGTGCGTGTCAACAAAGTCCTGTGATAACCACTTGTCCACGATCATGGCCCATCACTAGGGATATGATCGGCACCACCAGGGAATCACCTACAAGTCATCGAGTATTTGACATATAAGAAGATGAAATTGAACCTACTTAATATCAAAACGAATCATTATGAATGTTATTCGCCTACCTCAAGGTACTGGTCCTGTGTCAGCGTAATCAGTCTTGCTTGAGGCTTGGGGAGGGACTGCTTAAGTACCGACCTGTAGTAGTCTATGTGGGCTTGGACGCGCCCATGGTGGTGCATCTTGGTGACGTACTTCCTACAAGCTACGACAGCCGCCCGATCCGCCTGGGCCTCAAGTCCTTCTTCGGCCTTGAAAAACTTCTGCATACAAAACCGATATATCCATTCATTATTTCAATAAAACATTTAACCAATGAATGAGATGTATTAAGCAA